CAGCTGCCGGCTAGGGTAAAACCACGACAATAAGGGATTAAAAAAAATTAATAGCTGCGAAAGTATCAAAGAACCGTGGCAAAAGTGAAAACAAATTCTGTAGCTGAGCGTTAATTCCAAAGTTTAGAAGTGGAGCGAGAATTTCAAAGGGACTCCTGGCAAAGCTTTTAAGTTTTGTTTTTGTGGTGGCTTTTTAGTACTACAATGTACCTGGAAAAAAGGGTTTATTAATGGCACTAATGTAAACTAAATAAGAAAGGACCTTTTGGGACAGTGGATAAATTTGTGCAGGTCACAAGACTGAAAAAACAGAAGAGGTCTTTCAGCTCAAATGGAGAAAAAAAGGTGCAGTGCAGATGAGATAGAAAGATGCCAGACATCTATCCCTAAAAGGGATGAAACGCTGAAAGAAAATGCTATAAGGAAACCAAGACAAAGCTACAGAGAGCACTAAGGAGTGACAGACTGTGGTAAGTCTATAGAGAATTTAACAAAATGGGTATTTCAGTTTTTTAACTGGGCTGTAATGTGGCTGAGGACTCAATGCACCTAGTTCCAGGACAAGAGTCCTGGGATATGGTCAGCAGCTCTCTTCTTGCCAAAATGAGCAGAGCAAGGGTTTAAAAGACATAAAGGACTGACAACATTCTGTAGTATTAAACAAATATTAAAAAATACTGCTCCTCAGTAACATCCATCGAGCAAATTACAAATAACATGATTTGGAATCACGTTTATGAAATAGTGTATCATGAAGTGACCATGATTTTTAATTAAGTTGCTATGATGTATTCACAGTACTTCATTGTTGTGACAATGCATTACTGTAATGCTAATAAGTGTGTCTTCTGAGGCCATTCTGCCACACATCATAAGCCTACTGCTACTTTTGCTGATTTCACAGTATGAACTCACAAAATCACAGTCCTGTGGCATTACAGTCTTAAGACAATCTATGTTAAAAGGATATTATCTTTTGTTAGTTTAACTCTCCATTGTTTGCATGTTCAACCTGTTTATATAAATTTACTAAACAGTTAAAAATCACCTGATATTTACATGGCTCATAATGACCCTAAAACAGCCAACACACTAAGTTCATCTTGTTCTGACATCTGTATCTGCAATTAAGGTTTTTTAGAGTATCAGATTCTGGGATTCACAAAGGGTTAGCTTGTCCTGTACTTCCAGTGGCTAAAACAAGATTCTAGATTTTAAAAATGGAAAAAGCAAAGAACTGTTTATATTTGGGAAGTGTCCACCTTACCTCCTTATCCTGTAGTTGCTTTCACACATGAATGATTTCATCCAGTGAGGTTATTCATGTGATTTATGATGTTACCTAAGTGTTTGCAAGATCTGGACCTCATAGTATTTCATTTTGACATTTTCTAATTTAGTTTTTTATTTTTCACTTCAAAGTAGTGTATTTCATTTTAAAATATGATTTTGGCTGCACGTGTACTGACACATGCTTTACCCATCCTGATACAGACAGCTGTAGCTTAATTTTACTCCTTAGGGTTTTTTTTTTATACCTGGTTTCTTGTTGCTTTTGATTTTTCCCTGTAAATTATGTTCAGTGTTTAACCAAGAACCATTTAATTACAAGCACTGATGGTTTTATTGAAGCTGTGTGTCCACACTGAGAGTGATTCTGTGTATCTAAACCATCAACTTCTTCACATTTTCTTCAGGTCAAATACAACATATTTATGTATTAGAATATTAAAAAAAACCTTAAACCACAGGTGGTATTGTATGAAGATAACTTAAAAATGGCATTTAAGTTTCAGTTTATACGAAAACAAACTCAGACAAATCTTTCAATGTTCTGCCTTTTGCAAACAAGTGTTTTCTGGTGATTGGCAACTTTTCAGACTTTTATGCTTTATTCAGTCTTCTTATGCCACATGCAAAAATGTGACAATGGGAGTGACATGCAAGGACTGAGGAGAGAATATGCCTTTATCAAGAAGCTTGTTTTAGATACTGACACTACCCAATTCCCAGTATCACCTGTTTTTTCAAGTACTGTCTCACCATCTGACCTCTTCACACAGCTGCTACCTAGGACAACTTCCTTGCTCCACGGTGCATATTGCACAGCCTCCATTTTCAGTCATGCCACCACCCATCTCATTCATGCATTCACTAAATAGCTTCAGACATGCTCATCTTAACGAATTTGTGACAGTTTTGCAATTGTTTCTTTTGGGCAGACAAAATTGAAGCATCTGATTAAACTTGTTAAAATGTTTATGGGTATTAATGTCCTGCAGTTGCCAAAAACTTGGCTGTAGATTCAGATAACCTGAATACAAGATAATTTAAAAACAAAATCAGGAGTATAAATATATGAAACAGAAAATTTATTTCTAAATGCTAGATCTCAAAAAAATAAAAAAGTAATAGAACAACTTGATAGAAGCTCATTTATGACAGGACTCCTCTAAGCTGAAGGGATTGTACAGATCATTGCTCAACAGTACCTCTTTCTCCAGATGGCCTTGGCCCCTTAGCCACGGGCACTTTATATGTGGTATCCATTGCCATATTTTATTTTTCTGGATTAGCAAGTACCTTTGCTGGGAACATGCCTGTCACCTGGGGTTCTTAGGAAATGCAGGTATCGGGCGTTCTTCAGATATGAGGGTTGGAATAGGGGAGCTATACTACTAGGAGCAAATAGCCTACAGGCAGGCTAAGTGTTCTGGGAGGCCATATCCAATGTCTGAGAGGTGTTTTCTACTACCAGCCAGGAGTCTCAGCCCAAGTTTAAAGAAGAATTTTGTGTTTGGTGTACTGACCTTTTCACACAGTTTGGCCTTTTCTCTACACAATTTTTCTTCCTGGAAAACAGACAATCCTTCTTCAAGTTTACACAAAGGCAGAGAAGAATTGCCATTTTCATGCCAGATACCTCACCCCTTGAAGATCCAGGTGCCTACTCCCTTCCTGAATAACTAAAATCAGCCAGATAAACATTTCTGTCCTTATCATTCATAAGTTCAAAGGAGCAGCTCTCAAGGGTAAACACTTGTAATTCTGTATGCAGCTGCTACAAGAAAATGTGCATTCTTAACCAGCTGCATTTCATGTGTAAAAACTGCCACCACAATGAATTTGCTGCAGCTACACATTCAGCGACGGAACAATTTTGGTTAAGAACGACTGCAAATTTCAGCTTCTCAAGCTCCTTCTCATCACCATTCTGACTGATCCAAGTCATTACTACTCCATACAAACCTTGCTTGCACAGTGTGTCTACACAGGCAGGCACCCATAGAAGTCCACAACCAGCTCCTTAAGAACTTCAATTCAACTTCAAGACTGGCTAGACAGAACATTGCAATGACCAATGCTTAGACAATGACCTATGGATGCAAACGTAGAAAAGAATTCAGTTCGTGATAGTGATTGTGCTGAATTCCTTGTCAGAGGAGCTTCTAGGCACCAGGCTAAAAAACCCCAGCCATTGTAAAACTAGAAGAGTACCAATTAAGACGAAGTAAACAAATAAGGTGAAGTAATAAAAAAAGGTGTAAATTGTAACCTACACTAATGAGAGCTGAGGGAGATACTGCTAAACTGATTTACTTGTATGTTCCTAAAATGGTTCATTAAGGCTTGGTCCAATCCACTGTCAAGGCCACAGAGCAAACCAAAAAGTGAACTTGTATTGCAGTAGGGTATAATCAAGAACTTCACCAACCTTGTAACTTCTGGTTTTCTTTCTCCATTCTGAGGAGCAGTATCTGCTGAATAATGGCTTTCTTCCACAACTCGCGAAGCTCATGGGATGTCCGTTTCCTTTCTTCTTTCACTGGCCCAAAGGGGCCATCTTCACACACTGGCTCCAATGGGGATCTCGGTGGAAGTTCTCCCAATTCGGAGTAATCTTTAAAAGAGAAAAGCTGTTGTGAACTACTTAGATTTCATGAACAGGTGGATTAAGGGACACATTTTCAAAGATTACATATGTATACATAGATGTCTACGTATACACACACACACATCTATACAGGACCAAGCAAGGTTTCCCAAATGACAGTTTCAAGCAGATTTACAAGCTGCTTCTGAATAAGAATCATATGGGCCAAAGCCTGGAACGTTTTTTTTCTGTAACCTGATAAAAACATTTTACCATACACCAAGACCATGGCTTGTTAATTACAGCTTTACAAGGACAGAACAAAAAAGGAAAAGGCATGTTTGAGAAACTGCAAAAATACAACCTGCAGCTGAAACCCAGCATGACTCAAATAGCAGATCAAATCAAATACAGCACCCACATAATTTAAAGAATAATTGCTAAACTGTGTTTAACAAAGAAAACACACACCCTTAACTGCACAAACATAACACCACCTAAGGCCATACTGTGGGATGATTACCAGTTCTTAAAGTAAACATGCAGAAAGGGAGAGAGGCACCTAAGACATGTTTGCTCTCACTTGTAATTTTTAACCATGTCATAACCTTCTGCACTTTTTCTTTTGGCTACAGCTGGCCTACCACAAAATATATCCTTCTTTCAAGCATGCAAGGTAATTCTAAGACTGAAAACACTACAAAAGAAAGTGAACATTAAATAAATCTCAGGCAAATTGAAAAATCTTTTCTTTTTAGAGAAATGGTAAACAGCATTGTTTTTAATTGAGTTCTCAACATAAGAAGCATAACTTCTTATACTTTGTTTTCTTAGTGCCTGCTGCAGTATCACTTAATTTTATTGTTTTATACAGCTTCTCTGAAGGCTCAATAGTCTTTGATATAATCTGTGTCTAGAAGAAAAATTACTCAATTCACCACCTTTAAAATGAATGGTCAAACCCACCCATCTCTTCCTACCAAATCCCAAATGGAAAGCCATCGCAACAGCATTTCTCCTTCAGCCAAACAGAATGGCTGTGAAATGTCTCCCCGAGGACAAGCTGATCAGTTATGCACGCCAGAAAATGCTTTAAAATCAGTGCAACAAAAACCACTCCCTGCACTCTCCAGTCAAGGACAAGTACATCTGTGCATGCTATTTCAAACAGCTCCTGCAGAAGGGACACTCCTGAAACAATTATTCTGCATGGTAGCTTAGTGGTACATTTCTTTATCATTGGCTAGCATAGTGATAAAGATTTTGAATTTTACACACACCCACACAAATTCTCATCTCTACAAACTAACAACATAGGAAGGTCTTCACCCCTTCAGAATCTGCTCAGAAGGCTACCATATATTGACTCAGATGGTTCACAGGCAGCTATTCTTTTCTTGTTTGTTGAAGGGTACTCACACAACTAAGCTCAGATGAATAAATAAGAATAGAAATGTTCACAGCTGTTGGCTTCTGCTTTTCTAAGTTTTGCCACTGTCAATCTTTTCCTCTCAAAGAGTCAGAGACAAATAGGGTGGGTCCAAAACCACCTGTTTCCTTATACAACATATATCTATTACCACAGTAAATTCAAGGGCTAAAATATACATATACCAATAAATGCAACATTTTCAGCTAGCAGCACAAATTAAACCTTTACAAACTTGCACTTTGGATATAAGTGTGGATACTCATACTTTGGCCATCTACAGCATTTCAGAGAGAACAACGAACTTCATGGGAATGTGAATTAGGCGAAGGACAAATATTTGACATTTTAATGGCAATCACCATTTGCTACAAAGAGAAGTAGGAAACACTGACAGAAGCATTCAAAAATATAGCTGGATATCAAAAATATCAATACAATGAACTAATTATACTATATCCCTTAAAAAAATGTGACAAACATTCATTTAATTTTCTCTTTATTTTTTTTTTTTTTCTTTTCCTTTTTTCCAGGTAAATGAAAATACTTCCGTGGGCTAAGATCTGTAATTATAAAAGAGGTGTAGGTAAATGTCATCAGGTAGAGAAAGAACACACATTTGATAATCCTCAATTTGTGTTGAAAATTAAAGGAAGATTATTTTGATTTGATTGTTGGTTTTGACACACACACTATACTGTCAACAATGTTCTGTACATACAGTAGCTTTCATGCCAATTTTTCTTAGTGCATATTAAAGAACATTACAAGCCAAATGCTCTTAAGGATAATGCTGGTAGAACTGCCTTTATTTGCTTAAATAAAATAATAAACTTAATAAAAATACCATGAAGGGAAGTTTTTCATTTTCTCTAAGGCTGCATTACACGCACAAAGTAACATCACCATAAGAAAGAGGAATTAACAACAACAGTCACCAAACATGAATGCAAAAAAGTAAAAGTGATCCAGATAGGTACACCCTTATCCACTGTACACTAGCTGTAGTCTATTCACTTCTTATTACATTCTTACAGCATCCAGTATAGAATGCATGTACCTCATAGAATCATAGAATGGTTTGGGTTGGAAGGGAGCTCAAAGATCATCTAGTTCCAACTCCTCTGCCATGGGCAGGGACACCCTCGACTAGACTAGGTTTACATCATGGGGGAAACAAATCTCTTCTCACCCTACATATCCTCTCAGTGGTTTATGGATCTCCTTTAGAGTCAGATATGTATTCTGGTTTTATGCACGCATGTATGCATGTATGTGTTAGAAAATATCACTATCTATACAGACAGTTTATGGTTACCCACTTGCAAAAAATCCAGGCTGCCAAAACACATTGAAGGAAATGGATTAAACATATTGCTTTCCTAAAGCAAGAATGAACATATCCAAGACCTAAAATCTTCCTCTTTTTAACATGCACATTCTACTTTCTCAGTGCAAATTTTGTGGATTCATCTTCAAGTACCAACTTGACAAAATATCACCTTCTAATTTACTAGAGATTTTACTCCTCATCCTCCAGGCATCAAACTTACTGTGGCCACACTTGAACCACTGCAAAGCATTAATTACTCAAGTCCATGGTCCTGCTTCCATTTAGGCTGAAAATTTCTTGTCTGTTACTGACTAACCTGATAAGACCAGTATTCAAGAAAAGAAATTTAAGTCACACTGCTTAAGGCTATAAAAGAAAACAGAGAGGTTACAAAATTCTATAGGCTGAACAATTATGATTATCAACCCTACCTCTAATTCTTCTGTGGAAGAGTTCTAGGCTTGATTTTGCCTTCCAAATGGCAGCTCCTTTTCTATCCTTCCTTTCTTCTTATCACGTGTCGACATTTAACAGAAAGTCTAAAGTCTACTCTGATAAAGTGCAACACATTCACAACCTGCCTTCACTCCCATCCCCATGCTGGCATGTAGCAGGATGTATAGAAACCAAAATGAACCTGTTTAACTGCTCAGGTGGCTTGTCTAAAGTTTGCAGAGTTGCATCAGCTGTTTGGCTGGTAAAAGAGGGAAGTGGAATGTGCAGGTAATCCCTCAAAGCAAAGTAAAAAACCATACATTTGGTAAGTCAGCACTAACCCATGTCCATGAATATACAAGAGTGATGGACAGACATGCCATCCATCTTCCAGATCCAGAACAGTCAAGAGTAGAAATACTGTAACAAGAAACTGAGTATTTCATTACTATGCACAAAGAATCTGGAGGCTGGCACAGAAAACAAAGATAAACAGTAGAGTAATTCAACTGAACGTAACTGAGAGCTCACGTTCCACTGAATCAAACTGCCATGTGTTAAAATCCAAGTAGCGCACAGCCTTCAAAACCTTTATGAGATTAGTAAGTGCACTCAAGCAGGATCTGAACACTTCAGCACACACTGAAAGACAGCTTCCCTGTTCATCTGTCAACCTTGTCAGCTTTGGTTGACTCCTATTCCACATTTGACCTGTACTCCTTTAAAATATGTTGCTCCCTTCCCTGCAGCTTCCATATAAAATACTACCTCCATACATGGCACTTCTACAAGCCTACCACACTTCTACTCTTAAGGTTCAGGCTTGGGCACGTTGACTCAACATCTATTTTTATATTTTATCAACACAGGTTATTCTCCATTTGAAGTTCATACTTGGACGACCCTTCAGAATTACTCTTCTGTGCAACGCACTTCTACAAGTCTGTGGGTACAAACT